TGGGCAGCTATTGCACAGCGCCCAGGAAGCAATGGGAGTAGGGGATGTCTGGTGCCTTGCTCAAGGGCACCACGGCAGGGCAGGAGGTGAACTGTGACCTCTCCAAGAAGCAGTCCACACTTATATTTAGGTCTGTTCGGGGACTTGAACCGGCGACCCTACGGCTCACAGTCCATGCCCCTACTGACTGAGCCACTGCCGGACATTAACCTCTCAATGTCCCTCAAAATGTCATAAAAGTGATTGTTTGAAACCCAAAGACATTTAATTCCTCTCACATTCGACAAAGAAAATCAGTAAATCCTCACAATTGATGGAGGACATTTTGACACACACAGTAGAAAAGCACAGGTGTGTGTATAAGACAAAGGAATGACAGTTTCCCTCACTTACCTGCTTNAGTGCTTAGTTAGTATACGAGTGCTTAGTTAGTATATAAGTGCTTAGTTAGTATACGAGCGCTTAGTTAGTATACGAGTGCTTAGTTAGTATACGAGTGCTTAGTTAGTATATAAGTGCTTAGTTAGTATATAAGTGCTTAGTTAGTATATAAGTGCTTAGTTAGTATACGAGTGCTTAGTTAGTATACGAGTGCTTAGTTAGTATACGAGTGCTTAGTTAGTATACGAGTGCTTAATTAGTATACGAGTGCTTAGTTAGTATACGAGTGCTTAGTTAGTATATAAGTGCTTAGTTAGTATACGAGTGCTTAGTTAGTATACGAGTGCTTAGTTAGTATACGAGTGCTTAGTTAGTATACGAGTGCTTAGTTAGTATATAAGTGCTTAGTTAGTATACGAGTGCTTAGTTAGTATGTTAGCGCTTAGTTAGTATATAAGTGCTTAGTTAGTATACGAGTGCTTAGTTAGTATACGAGTGCTTAGTTAGTATACGAGTGCTTAGTTAGTATACGAGTGCTTAGTTAGTATACGAGTGCTTAGTTAGTATACGAGTGCTTAGTTAGTATACGAGTGCTTAGTTAGTATACGAGTGCTTAGTTAGTATATGAGTGCTTAGTTAGTATAAGTGCTTTATTTTTACATGGAATATGGATTAAATATAGATATACCCGTACAATACAATATAATTAAAGAAATATATATATGGGCAGTTACAATGTGCAAAATGGTGAAGGTTGCGCAGGACTGACAGTATTAAAACGAAAAAGATAATCTAACCCTTAGACAAAACCTTGGGTAACAATATATATATATATATGCTAATACCAATAAAGCTATTATAACAACTTAAAAGTATGCACATTTGATTACTTTATTGAAAGATTTCTGACCATCTTGTCAGATTTCTCACATTTTAAGTTTGACAATTATTTCGTAATTTTTTGTAGCTTTTGAAATGTAACATATTTGTTCCTAAAAAGCTTGACTAAACGGTTTCCTAATCTTATGGCTTTGTCTGCCTCTTCATGGAAGCAGACCAAGTCTTTTTTCACGCTGTTGAAGAAGTGCAGGTTGGACGGACAGACACAGATGTTGTTTTTTCAGCCCACGATCGCACTCTTTTGCTTCCTTGGTCCTGTGATCTGCCCGTCCTGTTTGGCTACACTCTGCCCTGCTGCTCACTCTGTGGTTTTGAGGGGCATTTCCGACAGTGAGACCTCCCACCTATCTGCATCACTGAGTGATTCTGCACATGCTACAGATCAAATCTCAATCAGACATAGTGTACAGACATAACAATACAAAAGATCTTTCACACTATCAGCAGATTGTGGAGTTTAGAGATTCCATCTGCTTGTTGGTTACAAATAATGTCATTTTAATCTAAATGAGCGGAATACACCAGGCTTAACTGAGTTTTTCTCTCTTTCCCTCCCTTTCTTTTTCTCTTTCTCTCACATTCTGCTGCCTTTAGTGCTGGTTAAAGACTGTGTGTGTGCTGAGACATAATCCCAGCACTAGCTTCTACCCTCAGGCCAGCGTAGCTTCTCTGGCCGGTTTGCTAGGATGCTACATGGCAGGCGTTCGCTATGCGTTGGAGATCCAGGCTCTTCAGAGGGGCTCAGCTGAGTCCTGCCAGGCTGAGGAAGATGACACTAACCAGTCGGTCTCATCAATCGAGGATGACTTTGTCACAGCCCTGGAGAATCTGGAGGAGGATGACACAGGACACAATCCCTGTACGTTTAACATCTAATGCTTAGTGGCATGTTGTAGCCTGTGGTCTCTTCAGTAGAACATCTTGTGATCCAATCAACTGAATATAGATACTCCTGCTAAAACAAAAAATGGAGATCTGATTTAAAACCCCAATCTGTTTTTTATACCATTATGAATCACATGTGTTTCAGTAGCCAGCATTTGTCAGTTCTTATATATGGCACAGCTAGTTTGGATGTTCCTCTCTTTTATATAATCAAGGCACAATGGATAAACAGCTTTTCTTTGCTTTTATGGATAAATATTCCTCATCTTGAATCCCCTCTTTGTATGTAACGTATATAACCAGTTTCTTTCCCTTTCCATCTCCACAGCTGCAGGCCCCTATCGCCATTTGAAAAAGCGTGACATGGCATCACAGACAATCCCAGCTCACAGAAGAAAAAAGGAATTAGCAGGCTCCCGTATCATCATATGCTCATCGTCGAAGAGAAATGCAGCCAAACAGAGTCCTGGTCCGGATGTCTCTGTCACAGTGCAGAGGTCATCGGGCCTTGAATCCCAGTGGACGTACTGCAGCCCCGGGGCTCGTGTGCCCTCCCCTGTGATCCATGTCAGTGAATCTGAAGACTCTGACGGCTCAAGCCCCAGCCCAATCATATTCCTAGATGAAGTGGGCTATCAGAAGAGCATGCGGGCCAAACTGGACATCCCCCAGGTGCCAGGGGGTCCCAGAGAGCGCGTTGAAGACTCGGACTCTGAAGTCAGTGAGTTCTTTGACAGCTTTGACCAGTTTGATGACCTGGATGAGTTGAGCTCAGATAACTGCACTCTCGCACTGCCTCTGGATGCGATCAGTGCCTCGACGTCACAGAGCAGTGGGTCAGTATCCAAATATGTGTCCAGGGGTTGCTCAACCAAGGGAATGAACCCTCACCGATTTGACCACCCAACTCTCCCAGCCAATGTGAAAAAACCCACTCCTCTGAAACCAGGCTCGCCCTACTCGCTTCACTCTGAGGTGCCTGACTCCCCTCGACCAATGCAGACCCCATCGGACGAGAACGGTGGCCCACTCTTCAGTCCTGTCAGCTCCTCAGCCTTCAGCCCCTTGGTTGACTCTAGTGGACCTCTTGAGTACTTCTGGAAGGCAGAAGAAGATGGACAGGACATCTTAGAGCTACGTAAACCCCAGGATGTCTGCTCTCTGTATAAAACCTACTCAGACTTTGCCAGCAGTCTTTCCAAAGAGATTCTGGGATCTGTGTGTGGCTACCAGTCTGCCGTTGACATCAGTGACAACAAGAATCTCAGCTGTGTCTGCCACAAGGAATTCGAGAACCCTTCAGGATACCTGATGAAGCTCTCAGAAATACAAGAGACGGTAACAGTGGGCGCTCTGCAGAAGAAGTCCCAGTCTCTGAAGGACGGCATTCAGAGGTTTGCCACTGACCTGGTGGAGATGAGCTTGGGCAGCGCGTTGCGAGACCTCCAAAAAGGTGTATCCTCCTGTACCACCACCTTGTGTCACCTGGCTGCCAGGCTCACCTCCTCAGTGTTCCAGATGGCTTTCCAGGAGATCGGTATGCGCCACGCCTACGTGTTGAAAAAAAGGGCAATCAATGGATTGGCTGGCTTCCTGGTTGGAGAGGCTGTATCCGGGGCGCTGAAAGACTTCCTGACAGTGAAGAAGCAGATTTTCCACAGCACAGTGTCACAGTTCGCTGCTGAACTGGCTGAAGAGCTGGTGTTTGAAGGCATTATGGAAGTGTGTCAGTTCTCCCACCCCTCAACCCCTCGCACCCCTAGTGATTGGTCCTTTGGCCAAGGGTACGAGGAGGAGGAGGAAGAGGAGGAGGAGGTGGTTTGCTCTTATGCTTCTGACTTGTCTGAGTCTGTTATCCAAGAGGCCTTCATAGAGCTTTCTCAGGCTGATGTGTCCTTCACTAGCCAAGCAGCTATAAGTGTGTCTCTGGACAACATCTGTTATGTCAGTTCAGAGACCACTGGCGCCCAAACCTGCAGTACCTTTGCAAACCAGCAGGCTCTTAGTTCCAGCTCTGCTGCAGCTGCCCCAGGGCCCTCTGGAGAAGATGCTTCCTGTACGGTGAAGAAAGCCCTGTTCACTGTATCAGGCATGGCCAGCTGTATTCCTGTGCCCAAAGCAGGCCAAGCCCTCACACACATCCATGATTCTGAGGAGACCTGTCAGTATGAGTCTAGCTTGTCAGATATCCAACAAAACAGCCCCAAAAGACTAAATGTGTCTGCCACTGACACACAAACTCACCTTCACAGTCATGGAACTCAGACCCCAACGCCTGGAGAAGACCACTCTCATGGAAAGTCCTCTTTCCAAAACTTCTCTGGCAACATGGTGGATATGATAGTAACTGAAGCGTGTGAGCTAATAACTGCTTCTAAGGTGAAGAAGAGTTTCGGTGACTGTGCTGAATTCTTTACAAAGACTATCGGCAGCAGAAGGGATTCTTCTTCTCAGCAGGAAACTGAAAATGATGAGGCTCCAGATTCCCCTTCAAAGCAGGGCGCTTGCTTCAGATATGTCTGTAGAGATCCTGGATATGTTAGAAACATCATCCCTGTTGAGCAAGCAACACCCCCAAGCATTCCTCACATTTCTTTCCAGACAAGCCAAAATAGAGCCAGCTGTGAGTTAGACGGCAAGAACAAAGGTGTGGCTGAAACACATCCTGTGATGATGCATACCCTTGATGTACCGGGCACCGAGATGGGTGGACAAAGGAGGACATCTGTTCCGGGGGATGACTCGGCTCAAAGCTCTGGACAAAAGTCTGGCGGGACTCCCGGCCCTCCTCCTTCTACCCCTCAGCAGCCCAGCGAGGTGTCCAAAGAGAAACAGATTAAACAGTTCTCAAAGAAGCTGAAAAGCAAGCTAGCCAAGGAATTTTCCCCCGCTACCCCACCTCCCACTCCTCACTATCAGCCTGAGCCTGGCCCAGGGCCAAAAGACATCTCCCCCGAGGCAGACAAGGCTGAATTCATGCTTAAGTTGATGAGGTCTCTCTCTGAGGAGGCAGATGGCAATGAGGATGAAGAGGTTGAAGAATTGGCAGAAGAGGGTGGAGCCGATGGCACTAACAAATGTCCAGAGACAGGAAGTGGCCGACGGGATTCAAACCAGATGTCCGCTCGCAGAATGTCCCACAAGGAAGCTTTACATTATGCCGAGCGGTTGGCTTGCCATATAGTCTCAATGGCAACAGAGATGGACACTTTGGGAGTAGCGGAAGAAGAAGGAGAGATGAGCAAAGGCAGTGGAAGAAGGAGAGACAGTGTGGCTCAGTTCTCAGAGCAAACCCTAAACACCTTGTGGGTTTATGCCGGGGAGGTGGCCGGAGAAGTCATCAATGACGTGAAGAGGATGGTGAGCTCTGCACAGCAATGTCCATATCACAAAGACCTCAGAAGAAGGAGCTTTGAGAGATCTAGCTCTGAATCTTTGCATCACCAGTCTCCTCCTGGGGCAGAGCAGAGCAAAGACTGGAGGGTAGGGCGGCTGGCTGAGCAGTGGTCTAATGACCTGATAGCCTCGGTCTTCCGGTCTCCTCCCTCCACTTCAAGCACGATGTCAAGCTCCAGCTCTGGCCTGTCCTCTGAGTATCCGAGCTGTGAGAGTGTGACGGACGAATACGCTGGCTACCTCATTAGGGTTCTGAAAAAGGAGGGAGGCAACAGGGAGTTAGTGCTGGACCAGTATGCGAGTCGTTTGGCCTACCGCTCCATAAAACTGGGCTTGGCTCATGCCAGTCGCAAGATTAAGAAGAGATCCTCCAGCACCCGGCTTCACTCTTCCAGGTCGCTGCCCGATGAATGGAAAGTGTCTGGAAGTGAGGCCTCGACACCCAAGAACAGAGATGAGTCGGTGGTTAGTCCCTCAAGTGACGCAGCTCAGTGTTGTTGCAGTGACTCTGAAGAGCAGAGCCAAAGGGAGTACATGGATCTGCTCAACTTTGCAGAGTCGTTAGCGTACAACATCACCTGCGATGTGACCCGCAAGCTGCATCTTTCCTCTGCACGACTTCCCAAGTCTCTCACTGACTCCTGTCTTTATAAGAAGTCCAAACTTGAAGACATGGCAGAGAACCTCATCAGGAACTCCTTCTCCTGCCCCCTGTTGTCCAATGAGGCGAAGAGCAAGCAGTACCACAGTACAGGAAGCCTGTATGACGGTGGCTACAGGGGTCAGGCGATGCAGGTTATTGAGCATTATGCCAGGAAAATAGTTGATGACACTCTGAAGATGAGCATGGCTTCAGTTGGACAGTCATCCCGGGAGCACCAGAGAAACCAAGGCCACGAGAGACACTCTCACACCCAGAGGTTGTCTGAGGGCCAATCGCTGGGCCATGCTCTTGGGGAGAGGACATGCCGTTATTGTCAGGTCCAGGAGTGCCCATACTGCACCAAACCTAGCAGGCACCACCACCAGCCTGTACTTCAGAGGAGGAGAAGAAGGGAAGACGGTCAGGCAAGAGCTGAGCGTCTCCCCAGCCTGGAGATTCCCAAGATCCACATCGACCTGGACCACAGGGCAATGTTTGCAGAGGAGATGGTGTCGATGGCAATGGAGACAGCTAAACGTGAGCTGAGCAACACCAGCCTGAACGCAGACAGCGGCATCGGGCATGATGGAGCCAGCTATGCTGAGAGTCTCACTGCTGAGATCATGACGTCGGCCATATCCAACATCTGCCTGCCCGGCAACATCAGGTAACCAACCGTGATTCAGTCTAGTGGTTCTCTTTGATTTTTTTTCATTTCAATAGGTTTTCGTTTGATGGCTAGAGCAACAAATACCTAGTGTAGCTTTTAAGGAGCTTTGTTAAGTTGACTTTTGCCTATACTGTATATACGCAACGTGATTCTTATCGACTTCAAATTTAAGGGGTTTTTTCTTAGCCGTTTTCTTCACCCTTCCAACAAGTTTCATGAAAATCCTTAAAACTCCTTAAATACTACGCTTTAAAGCTGCTTCTAGATGTTTAGTATGTTTATATGTTTTTCATATGTATATGTATATGTTACTTTACCTATAGGTGCTTTCACACCGAGTACTTTGCCGTACTTAGTTCCCAGGACTTAGTTCATCAGATCGCGTTCAGACCGGAATAAGTCCCTGGGGATGGATTAGGCAAATGAAGCCGCTGAATTCACTTCTTCTGCTTTGGGTTTACTGGCAGGCCGCAAACCACTCCACCGCTCCCATGTTTTTTGTGTTGCCATAAGTTAGTCTCTCTCCATTGGTGCGCTGGACTAATGCTAATAATGCTAATGCCAGCAAATAAAATGGCGGCTTCACAAAACTTTTCCGAGTTTTACGGGGCGTGGTTTGCAATTCCGTTTTTGTTTTTAAAAGCTTTTTGTCTTCTTTCATTTTTTGGTGTACAATTCCCATGTTTTTAAAAGCTGTTCCTCTTCTTCCATCCCTCTGTGTGTTTAGCTTCCCCTGTAGGGAAGTTGCTGAGTCGTCCGTGTCCCAGCAGCTGAGTGTGGGAGACGACAGTCTGGGCAGCTGGTCTAACCTGAGCTTTGAAGATGAGCATCAGGACGATAACAGCAGCTTCCTGCACCTCAGCGACAGGTAGACAACCACTACCTTTCTCATACATAACATATCAAATACCCAGTTTCCTGCTGGGTACCTGTTGCAGATTTACACTAATACCCTTAATCTATTCAAAAAAATATATATATTAGTGTTTGGATCTGGCCAATGTTGTAGTATATGTATTAACACACATCTGGTTTTACTATTGCTGTGATATTATGAATAATAATAATAATCTTTATTTGTATAGCACCTTTCATACAATAAGTGCAGTTCAAGGTGCTTCACATAGACATTTCACAGAAAATTGACATCACACAGAATACAGTTACCAGTTAAAAACAAACTAAAAATAGCATAGAGTAGACTACATTTAGTAGGATAAATGCAAATCTGCACACAATCAGATGACAGGTTAAAATGCATCCCAGTGCATTGAGAAAGTGCAGGAGTTTGCTTCCTAAAAGGCTCAATTGTACAAATGTGTTTTGATTTTTTTTTAAGGACTTCCACCGAATACTTACTTTATATCATGAGCTGGCTATCTACTGGTAGTGGCTTGCTAGCTCTTCCAGTCTTTCCTTATTCTGCTTTTTTAGGTGACGATAAACTATGTTTGTGCTGATAAGTAAGCATATTTAAAAACACAGATTCTTTTTTAGTGTTACTAAAAAATGTTACTGGCCATCTTTACATTTTATACCAGTAGCAGCAGTATTAAAACCCCTGCTGTTTTGTCTCTCCCAGAGTTTCCCAGCAAGTATGCAGCGATAATTTCTTTGATATGATGACAGCTGCTGCTGCTTTAATCTCACAGGAGATAGAGTTGCTTTTCCTAACAGCGTGGCAACAACAGGTGGCACATTATTCCATCTCTCTCCCACATACTGTATGTGCCCGCTGTGTTTGAACAATCTAGTCATCAGCTCTTAAAAATATTTCAAAGATAAGATACAGAAAGATAAGATAATCTAGGATATCAGGGAATATACATTTTCTATGTATTTAAATTGACAAACTTTTACACAACTCATTCAGTATAAACCAACTCTCATGTATCCAGTAGTATGTCCACTACCCCCCAAATGTATGCATTTCTTTAATAAAGCCTTGCTATTTAAAAAACCTCGGCATTAAAGGTAGGGTAGGTAGGTAAGAATGGAGAAACCAGCTCGAGTGCGCTACAATTTGAAAATACACAACCGGAAAAGATCAGCCCCTTCCTTCAGACTTCCTTACAGAGCCCCTCCTCCAACACACACGAACGCGCACATGACCAATGAGATAAGTTTGTGCAGATGGAAGGCTGACAGGCAGGTAGGCCATCCAGTTATTTTAGCCGGGCCGGCTCAGATGATTGGTCGTGCTTTTTACAGCGCCACGGCTTCCACAGATGACATTAGTTTATGTATTTATTGTCAAAGCATTTAATGTATTCATTGCTATCGGGATGTTAAGAGCATTCCATGGAATATAACTAGGGCTGTCATTCGATTAAAATATTTAATCGCGATTAATCGGATGATGTCCATAGTTAATCGCAATTATTTTGTCTGTTCTAAATGTACCTTAGAGGAATATTTTTCTAGTTTTTAATACTCTTATCAACATATGAGTGGACAAATATGCTTTATGCAAATGTTTGTCTATTATCATTGGAACAATGACAAATATTCTTCTGAATATTTTCAATACAACAAACTGGAACCTCTCTCTCTCTCTTACACTTCTCCCAACCCTGTGTACTTCTCTGCACTGAGCCAGTTGCTCAAACAGACAAGCCTGTTTACAGTTGTCGGCGAAATGTGCCCCCTCCTCTGTCTTCATAACAGTCAAAGCATGAGACTGAAGTTCCCACTGTGGGTCAAAATAATGCGCTGTGATCTGCAGTCGACACGTTGGATGCGATCCAAATGATCTCACGCAGCCCCTCGTCCTCCACAATGTTAAGCTGTAGCCACCCATTTAGCTATCGCTGCTGTTGTCCAGGCGTCTCCACGGCAAACTTTCAAGCGTGGTCTGCCGCAAGCGAGCAGCAGGAGCGGGGCTGTCAGCATCAGCTGTGTGCATGGCTTGCTGTTTAAAACAACTTTTTTTGTATCCATATCTGTCGCTAGAATCTCCCACCATCCAACTAACAGCAACAACGTCCAGCCTTTGGGCTCTGAAACTACCGGGCGGGCCGAGGACAAATACACATGGGTTAATCGCACGTTCAAATACTTAGTTATTATTAGGCATTAAAAAATAATTGCGTTAACTTGAGAGCCCTAAATATAACAAAGTGTTTCTGAAGTGAATTACCTACCCCACCTTTAGCAGTATTCAAGGTAACACAGGGTGAGTAAATGATACACAAATAGTCATTGTGGAGGTGAAGTATTCCTTTAAAAAACGTGGTTATTACTTGTGAATCTGTGCTGTCCATTTCCTCAGACCCAGAAGAATAGAGGAACATTTGGTATCGCTAGTGTCAGACATTGTTTAGCAGGAGTCTCCTGTGGTTGCAGCGCGAGGCTTCCCAAGGTCAGCGCAGGGCACAGTGTATTGTTTGGGATTCTCATTTAGACCTCACTGCCAAAACGCAATTCTAAAACACACCACAGGGATAAGCACCGAGTAGTAGTTGTGACAGAACCGGCCCTTCTGTTCTTGGATGGACATCAGTGCTATATTTGTGTATGTATGTAAAAAAGAAAGAGAGTGAGTGAGTTTCGGCGCTCTAAGGTCTGCTGCCTCTGGGAATATAGCGGTTGAGATTTCTGGCAGAAGTGGATATCTCCATGGATGCAAAACTGACAACATTTGCATTTCTTTCCCAGGAAACACAATGTGTTAGCATGTAGTTATGTTGCCATCAGGGCCAAGTCAATGGACCAAAATATTGTGGAAAGGTGTGTCTTTGAGGGCTCTTTTCACTTCGGGCGGTGATTCAAAAGGATCAAAGTAATCTTTTGTCTCTCTTCAAATTCCCACTGCAACCAAAACCCGATCCCACTGAAACTCGGCAGATGAAATAACGGGAAGATGAAACAAAAACACCTTGAAGGGTTTATTAAGACACTGATGATGGACTAAATGAATCAGCTCTCACCATGTGTCAGTCCCTCTCCCCGCAGATAGAAAGCTATGTGAGGTCATGCAGATTAATAGAGCTATTTATAGGTATCAGAAATGTACCGTGAGCGCTGCAGGCCACAGTGTGCAGGTTCCAGCCAGCAGGCTAATCATTGGCTAATTGCAGAGTGTGCGTTGTTGTGCTTTTGTTGTCAGCTGGTTGTCTTGGTGGAACCCGCAGGATTTACCGGATTATGTAAAGACAAGAATGCCATGATCTCACGTTTTGAGCCTTTAAGCAACAAATGGTTTCCATCAACATTTACAGAGGATTCAGTGACGGTGGAAAAACCTGCATCATTTGGAGAATCCTCCCTTTTGATTTAAAGGGACACCATCTCAAATATTTCCTCTTACCTGTAGCGTCCTTTATTATTATAACATATTGTGCCGTAGTTGCCCAGTGTTGGTGATTGTGTCCGTAAAGATGTCGACCTTTTCTTGAATATAATTCCCAACAATCCTGACTGATATCATGAAATCTAGAAAAATATATTTATTTGTTCTAAGTGTATGTTTCAGCGCTTTTTGTGCCATCTATTTCCATTATATTGGAGAGGAGACAAAGCTCTCTATGCCCAATGTCTGCAACACTTCTCTCACCTAGACGTTGCAGATTGATTACAGGTTACAGGAACAATACCACATTAGATAAGATTACATTTTATGGTCATTGCACTGAGTACAAGAACTGGGACAATGAAATGCAGTTAGCATCTAATCTAATTGCCGTGTCATTTAGATATGACAGATATAAAAAGCTCAAGTATATCAACTGTATTAAAAGATACAAACACTAGCAGTGGTATACATGTTGAATACACCATAAAGATAGAACAGTATAATATAGACAGTCGTATAAATATGGATACGATATTGAGCAGTTTAAAACACTTTGTATATACTGTATACCCTGTATTCTATTCTATAGTGGTGCATAACTGCCCTTCTCTCTCCAGCAGCAATGGGAACAGCAGCAGTTGGAGCAGTCTGGGTCTGGAGGGGGAGGCGTGTGAGGAGCGCATGTCCTTCTCCCCTTCTGACAGGTTGGTCAAACACCCGTTACACATGGGGGGGTCAGAAAGAAAACTGTCCAGTCATTGAGTTTACTATGAAGCCAAAAAGAAAGCATGTCAAACATCCAGCAGTGGAAAATCTCAGCAGGAAATTGGAGACAGGGAATTGCTTCATCATATATTTCATTTGGATTTATACTTCGTCTCATACTAGGAACCACCAGTCCCGTGCATGACCACACAAAGCTCCAAACATCAATAGTCCTGACATATGCTTGTTGATGTCTGTGTGTGATGTATTGCTCAAGATGTGCTGTTTCTGCACTGCTTGCATGTGATGTTGTTGCTTATTAGGACCATTTATGATATGGTTATATGTCAGGGGTCTTTCCCTAAATGCATGTATGCTATTTGACAGTTTAAACCTACTAATAGATTGTAATTTTATTTGTGTAGGTGCAAATTCATGAAAAACCCCTGAGATTGAATTCAGCATTAACACAGTGAATCTGTACTGCAAGCCATTTATAAACATGCCGTGGTTTTTCAGAATGGTGGATGTGTGTTTGCATGTTTAGCAGTGCAGAAATATCAATCACCATGATCATCAACATGTGCTTGTAGGAAGCCGCAATACCATCAGAGTTTGAGACTCTTACCACTGAACAGCAATCATTTCAATGCAAAACCCTGCCACATTTTTTTTTTTTTTAAACAACTTCCATGTTTTTCTGGGTTTCATTTACCATCAACGACAGGGTGTCCGCGGGGTCTTAAAAAGTTTTAAAAGTTGATAAATCAATTTAGCAAAAATTAAGTCTATTGAAAAGTATTAAAAAGTATTAAAGGGCATTTTCCAAGGTGTTACATTTTGTAGCTTGTTTTCAATAAGTCTATAAATTGTCCAAAGAGGTTGTATTCTACAGTCTGCCTGAATGTAATCATTGCGTAGGTGTGTAGTGTGATTCTGTGTAGTTTATTTATGGCATCCCGTTGGATTTGACGTGATCTGAACAGGACATCGCACGCTCACTGCTTGATAGCTGCGGAGGTCCGTTTACGCCGGTTGCTAAGCAACATCGTTATGGGGAAATGCAAGTCTGCGTCCAAATGATTGGAAGATAAGGAGGAAGGACAATCAATACTGTATATAGTCAATGTGAGGTAAAGTGTGTCGCCAAGGTAACCGGTTAAAACTCGAAGTGGCGATGAGGTCTTAAAATGTATGGAAAGGGTCTTAAAAAAGGTCTTACATCTGACTTCAGGATTCCTGCATACACCCTGGCATAACACACTACAGGAGAGGGTTAACCCCCAAAAATCATAAT